CTGTATCGGTTCCTGAGGATTTTCGGAACTGCTAAGATGACTGAATGGGGGCAGTGACAACTGAACTCTTAACTTCACGGTCAACTTAAAGACGCGGTCCACGATGACGAAGGTTACTGAGTTCTTCTTACTGAGTTCTTCTTTTAGAATCTCAGCGCCCTCCATGGGTGGTAGAAGGGACCCTCTTACTCCCCCATTCTCGACGTCGAGGGCATAGTGCAAGCCCTGTTGTTGCCGTGATTGGCTTTCCCGCCCCGATGTCACGTCATACGAGATGTAGATGCGGTTTAGAGCCCTGTATTCGCGTCAGGATCCACCATTCAACACAAAATCAGCTGTTTGGGTGTGCTGTGTGCAATTGCAGACATTGCGTCGCATTTCCCTCAACCGCTGTTTTTTTCACTGCGAAACTCATCCAGCCCCCTTTTCTACCTCTTTTTTGAACCTTTTTTTTTCTTTTTGTTCGTCGTTTTTTGCGCTTTCTTCGGTATTATCGCACTATTCTGGGATTGATCTAACATTTTCCGTCAAAAAACGGGTACTTCAAAATTATTGTGAAGTGTGCCTTTAACAGCCACTAACTTTCAAGGGTTTAGGTGGAAATCTTTTTTTTCCACGCTCTTTCGGTAGGGTAAGGCTAGAGGGTATCATGTATTTGTTGTGCAGTATGTTGCTCCGAGCTGGGTTAAATTTGCTTTGAGTGAACATCCAGATTGTTCTGCTCAATGCTGCACCACTAGGCCTATAAAAGAAGTGACAAAAATATCACGAAAAATTATCAAAAACTATAAAAATATGACAGAATTAACCAGCTCTTCACTATTTTCATCTTTTTGTTTCATGTTTGAGATTGATCAAAAGACTTAAATACCTGCCACCCTCACGTAACCTACCGTCTCTTTGATGTTCTGGAGAACTGTTTGGATTTCAACTTAATCTTTGAAAATATTTGATTGTACAGTTACAGAATGTTTCAGTGCGACTATCCAGGAACTTCAGCGCTGGGCTAATATTGTTGCTATGAATGCCGTCCATCGAACTGTAAGGGATACTTCCGTTAGAGGAGTGAAAATCCCTGCTGATACCCTAGTACTCGGCGAGATCCATCAAATTCTCGCTCATTCGCCTGTATTCAAAGATGGACACAAGTTTCGCCCAGAACGTTTTCTCATGGAAGATGGTGTTACACCTAATAAGGTGTGGAAATAATTTTTCTTAATTTTGATTTTGATTTTGATTTCCATCTTTGAACTGTGAAATGGCAAAATAGGTAGAAATGCTCACTGGATTGATTGATGTAGCGTTAGGATGCGCCATGAATTTGACTCAGGAATCAAATCGTAGAGGCGCCAATCTCTGTGGAATGAGTGCCACGGTTCTTTTCCAAAATACATATTGGACTGGTGGGATCGCTATAGTGATATCGACGAAGAATGGTATTCAGAGATCGACTGATCTTCTACTTTTGTTAGTGAATCTGGTTTCGTACTGTAATTTTATTTTTATTTTATTTTTATTTAACGGACATGTTGAAAACATGTGAAATGAGGAAAAGAACACAACCAAGGAAAAAGGAAATAAAACAAACTATAGGATCTTATAATAAACTCAACTAAGTGAAATGAACTTGTCAATGGATCTCTTGAAAGTACAATAATTTGGGAGGACGAGATTACGACGTAAAAGCGAATTGAAGCTAGATCTAACTCTGTTACTGAAAAACTGTGCTTTAATTTGAGTTCTTGCTGGCTTGGTTGGAATCTTAGCGGAGGAGCCTCGCGTGTTTGAAGACACGATTGTGAAGAACTTGGATATATCCACGGGGGTTATGCCATTTAAAATTTTATATGCCATAAGTATGTCACATTTCTTTCTTCTCCATTCAAGAGACTTTAGACCAAGTATCTTATTACGCTCACTTCCACTAGGTATTTCGTTATAATTTAAACGATGACTTCGCATCATAAGTTTACGAGTGAAGCTATTCTGAACTCCTTCCAAAGCATAAATATCTTTTTTCTTATAGG